CTAGACCTTTCTCCAGGCAGCCCAAGATGTCCAAGCAGATTTCTTCTTGTATATTTGGCTGGAGTATGACCAGAACATTGTGTTACTACATAAATTTACTGTAAAATACCTCAAGGAGCTTTTGACTGTAGGACAAATTCCTATTCTTGAACTGGTTCAGAGTAGTTCTTGTTGGAAATAATTGTTTTCAATGTTAGGACTACAGCCGTAACACCAAACCCTCACTTTTGAGTTTAGTAGTTTTCCACTGAAATAAAAAGAATGGGAATGTTTTTCTTTTATCACTGACTGGAAAAAGGAAATGCTCTTCAGAAGGACATGGGTTCTTTTGATATCTTAAAACAGAGACTGATCCCCTTGCTTTTCCGTGCCATAGGCAGGATAACACCACCACGTCCATTTTTGGGATTTGTTGTTTTCAAAGATGGGTAAAAACAAGTATGAAATAGCAATGGAAACAGCCTTTCTTACATTCCCACTATTTTCCACTGGGATGGCTGCCAGAGAAATGACACTATATTAGGACCGACGTATCCCTTAGAAAAATATAAATCCTTTCCCCAGGGTTTCCTCCTCAGAGTGACAAGAATTTGGGGAGCCAGCTCTGAATTCAGACAAACATTTGTGGCTGCAATGTGAACATTCACATAGGCATTAGGTATATGAACTCCTGACTGCAAACTCCTGAAGGGGACCTGTTTTAGTGGGGGCAGAGGTGGATTAGATGATTCTTAGAGATCCCTTCCAACCCCTACAATTCTGTGATTATATGATTCTGTAAATGTCAGCACTGATCAGATCTTGACCATCTGAGAGCAATTCAACCCTGCAAATACCCACAATCCTGTTAAACTTAAGTGCAGAATACTTTTGAAAGGCCTGGGCTCCAACAAAGACAAGGTCTGCAAATAATAGGTAAACTCTATGAGAAAAACATTGTCTAAAATATCTCTATGCACATATATATATAGGGAAACAAACCCTTATACCTAGTTGGTATAAAAACAAAGTTTCTTAGGCTCACTGTCTATAATAGGAGCTTTGATATTTCATCTGCCTCCAGGCAGCTACAATTGGTAGCAGAATGAGAAACTGAATCCCATCCTACAAAACTGGGTACAACAACAGTAAATACATGCCCTTCAGAAGAGACTTACTTCCCTAAAGTAGATGTTACTGAACTACATCTCACTTTAGGGTTTTCTGGTGATACAACTACTTTTTAACAGCTTGTTGTAAGTTAAAAAAACACTGAAGCAAATTAGTAAACTTACAACACAATAGAATTGCATTTAAATATTGTGAGGCTTGAGGACTCTAAGAAAAATGGCAAACAGTTCACAAAATATATAACTTTGTAGAATTCAAGCTAAGATTTATTAGACCTAACTATAGATGTTAATAACACATCTGATCTGGTCAACACAGTTCCCCTTCATCAATGAAAGAAAAATAAGCACTTGTACAGTGCCTGAGACATTTTAAAAATGAAAATGAAATGAGCTGCAACCCAGAACTGTGTATTTCTTTTCATATACTGACTACAAAGGGAAGCCAGGTTATCTAGTCCATATGTGACTGATTATAACATAGATAGTTACATCTGGTCAGCATCAGAGCGTGTTTAATAACACACCTAACTGCAACTGCAATACTATTCAGATCAGTATGTCTATGCATTCTGCTTACACTCAGGACTGCATTTACTCCATTTCTCTAGTCCAACCCTTTAGCCTTCAACTTCAAAAGGATCTGTGGCTTGCACTAGGCTACAATGAGATCTACAACTTGCTCCACCAGGAAATATAAGTCACCAAGCCAGGATAAGACACCTGAGATGCAATGAGAAGCCTGCAGAGGAGCTCTTCCAGGGAAACAGAAAAATCACCACCAACGTCTTCACTTAGAAAAATATTTTTTCCCTAAAAAAAACCAACAACAACAACAACAACCAGCAGTGCTAATAATTAAATACATTTTCTTGAACTAAATGTATCTGCTCGAGATTTTGGGAAACACATCTACAAAGAGCCATCATGCCAAAAATTAAAGCAGTTCATAAGATCCTGAACTTAAAAGCAAGCCAGTCTCACATAATGTAGAGAACTGTTGAACCTTCATGCAGTCTGGACAGGTAAATCATGCCTTGCTAAAATTCAAACAGTCTGGCTCAGCCATGAGTGCGTTGGCATCCCAAGGTATGGGGCAGAGTTTCCCGGCAATCTGCAAAAGGCAGGTCAGTCAGTCATCCAGATCTATAAAGCAGCAAACTGCACTGTTATTAGAAGCCTGCCTCCCCATCTGGAAATTAAACACAAACATATGCATGTGCTGAAGTGTGGCTTGGGAGAAAAATCACTGCCCTGACAACACTGAATGGGAACAGGAAGGAAAGAAAAAACAAAAATTCAAACATATCTGTGCCTTCACTGTTTCATTTTCTGTGAGAGGCAACCTCATTCTTAATTAAGGATAACTTAAGGGACAAAGAGTTACAAGGTGATGAAGGAGAGTGAATTCACATATTTGTTAATACAGTAACAGGCTAATATCTGATAGAAAAATTTGCATTACTCATTCCTACTGCACTTTACTAAGAAATTCTCAAGTCACAACACAGTACCAGCACGCTGTACTTCATTCTTTGCTGATACCCAACACATCTGCAGAAGGTTTTGATAGCTGTAATAGCATCAGGTACAGCTTTCACACAGCAGGATTTGGACCCTTTGATCAATATAGGGCACATCAAAGAATGTGTATTAGTGTGTAATCCTGGGATAAACCCTGAAGGGTTTGGGGTTCTCACTGAAAAAAAAAAACCAAAACACATGAGACAAGAATTTAATATCTGTTATTTTTCATTCTATGAATTATAAGAACAATGCAGAAGAATGAAAAAAATAAAGGAGAAATGCAGAACACCCATTACATTCATGACTGATTTAATTATCGTGACCACAATGGAGATGTTGGGCAGGAGCTTAACACCTTACTTCCCAAAGCTTCACATCACTGAAGTTCAACAGGAACTGCAGACACTGAAAGAGACTCACCACATCTGCATGATCACTTCTGCACTACATGCATAAGCTGAAAGGCCAAGGGAGGTGGTGAAGCTGCTATTTCTCTGGTGGTTACTCAGCATTTGGCTGCCCTAGGCCATGCAGTGGCTGCCCAGTGCGAAAGAGTTTGTGACAAACTGCCAGGGCTAAGAATCATAGAATTATTTTAGATGGAAGGCTCCCCTACAATGAACAGGAACACCTATAGCTCTATCAGGTGCTTAGAGCCCTGTCAGCCTGACCCTGAGTGATTTCAGGGATGGGGTTTCCACCATCTCTCTGGGCAAGGAGAAAGTCAAAGGCCAGCATCCATGAGCCATGCCAAATACCAAACTGTCCCCTCCCCCCCCAAAAAGACAAATATTGTCAACATAGAGAAGAGTTAATAATGTGCTGGGATATTTTTTGCCCTTGTATGAGACAATTCATTTTCCTTGTAAGTTTTCATGTACCCTGCAAAAAGAAAAAAAAGGAATTTTATTTATGTTTTCTTTTTAGAAAAGAAATACTAGAACCATTTTGTCAGAGCTTGCTTGAAGCAAATATACGTAATCTAGGAACTAGCTAGAGTAAGTTCCATCTACCACCTGGTGCCTGATACACACTCCCTAGAACACTGCAGCCTCAGTCAGGATGCTCACTTTCTAGATAGATAGAGAACAGATCTGTCAGACTCCAGATGGAGCTGCATACCAGGTATATTCCTCTCCCTGATGCTTTGGCTTGAACCACAATAGAGTGAAACCTTTCCAGCAAATGAAATCTTCAACTCTTCATCCTCCCCTCTCTCACTCCTTCCCTGGAGGCACCAAGGGTACATCTGGTTGGATTAACCAGCCTCCAGAGTTCTTGCACCCACCTGTAAGATGACTTTTAAAGATAAGACACAGCCCAGCCTGGCCTCACGGGTTAGGAATTTAGTTAAATATATTCTAAAGGGATTTAGTAGGATTTGCTTTGCTATTTATACTATGCAGTATCAGTCATCCTTAAGTCTCAATGTCTTTATATTAGCAGAGCCAGGAAAACTACCAGCCAGAAGGGATGCTGTGACATCAGCCCCCAGGATCCTGCTTCCCAGCAGAAATACTCTGGCTTTCAGAAGTTGCTACTTTCCTTGCTCACCAAAATGAGGGTAAATAAGTGAAATATCAGGATATCTGAGTGAACCTCCAGAAAGAGATTCAGCCATGGCTCTTGGGTAGCAGCGCTGGACTGAGCAGTTCTGAAACAGCATCCACCATTAACATATGGCAAAAAAAATAAAATCACAAGCTTCTGCTGACCCCCAGGGTAAAAAGGCCAGCAGCCTACTCAGTGCATGTTATAAGAGGTAACTGTGGAAAAGAGCAACAGAATGACAACAGAGACTGGGAAGCTTGATTTATGAGGAAAGGTGAAAGGAACTGAATAAGAGCAGCTTGGCCAAACAATGACTAAATCAAGACATGAAAAGTAGCCACTGCCAACAGTATCTGAAGTGTCTGTCTGGAGGGGCATTAACTGTTTGGGTGGGTCCATATTGAATAAACTGAGGTCCTGAAATAGAAACAGGAAAAGTGGAAACTGGACCTTTTCTGAAGATGGAGTATGCTGGGGAGTGGGTGTCCTGAAAGTTCACCTGCACTGAACATCTGCACCTGAACATCACCTTTAGGGGGCTTCCAGTGGATCTTCCCCATTGCTGAGCATGAGCTCAGGGATACCAAGAATGTTAAAGGCTGTTCTAAAGTCTCCATACAGCCAGAAGATAAAATACCACTGCTTCAGAGTGCCAGCAGAAACACAAGAAGATATACGAAGAGGAAGAGGAGAGTGGCTCTCCAGACCCTCAGCATGTCACTGACTGTTGAAAAAGCACTTCCCATGGGTACTGGGAAGACATGGAAACATCAGCCTCTGTGCCCGACCAACACTTCACAGAAGAGAGCAGACTGGAACAAGAGAAATGTTCTTTAGTGGCCACACATCCATCAGTGAGCCATTATAAATCAGAACAGTCATACAAGCCACATAATTCATAAGGCACAGCATCAACCCCCTTGACTAACTCATGTAGATCAGCTGTTAATGTCTGCCTGCTGCTCTGGAGCTCCTCCCCAAGTTCTTTTGGCCAGAGAGGTCCTCAGCTCTGGTGACTAACACGTAATGACAAAGAAATAATCTTGCCTGATCCTGGTGCTTTTCATTTAAGGATGTAGAAAGGATTGCGTATAAATACTGCATGATTAACATCCAGCAGAAGGAAAAGCATGGCTCTACTCATCTAACAAAGTCACCACCACCAGTAATCTGCTGGGGAGGGAGGAGGCACGCACAGGTAAGGCTTTATGCTGAAAGATCTTAGCTTCAGCTCCTATGACACAAAGTGAGACTAACACGTTCTCCCAAGATCCACCAGCCCTGCCTATTTAGCCACAGAATTACTCACAGTAGGGATGGCTTTTCAATAAACGAGTGCACTGCACAACAGGACAGGCCTTGCTGCAGCCTATAGGCATGCCAAGTGATGCAAGTCATTAGTGCACTTCCTAGCAATTAAGCATGCATCTGATGCCTATGATATCTTTCATCAATGGACTACAGACACCCCTGAGAAGCTCCTTTTTTTTCCCCTTCTTATGTTGGCAGTCTTTTATAAGCCCCAGTTGTACCAAAGGGCCCCATCATTGAGTTCACGCATTTTAGCATTTTTGGTGGCTTTCACAAAATCGCTGTTTATATCCCCTCTCCATCGTGCTCTTCTACTCAGGAGCAAGAGTTTTCCGAATCCCAGAGAATTTCTTGTCTGCTTCTCATTGAAGTGGAGAGATGGAAGAGTGGGCAAGCAAACCAACAGCATGGCAGCGGGAGATGTGCAGAGAAATGGACAGATGCTCACAGACAACGCCAGCTGAGAGTCCTTCTATAAACAGTGGAAGAAAATGGCATTATCTTGATACATCTTCAAAAGTCAAAGAGAAAACACATGTATGATCTATGCAAATGTATCTTAGTTAGTCATATTGCCAAACACTCCCTTTGCATTTAATCTAATCGGTATTGTACTGAGTTGTCAGCAATCTGCAGTAGCCTCCAGGCACTAATGAGTTCCCATCAAGGTGTCAATGCCTCTGGCATTAACCTCAATTAGGAGCAGTTAAGGAGATCGCTGAATGAAAGGTCTGCCATCCATTGCTCAGACATTCCTCGGACAACAGCCTGCAGCCTCCCACATGGAGGAGGATGGCAGACTGGCTGCCTACTGCCTTCTCGGTAAAGAAGCCTCACATCTATAACATTAACGTTAATTACCAACTCTGCCTGTTTTGACATGCATGGAAAAAAAAAAATCAATAGGAACCCTATTTAACGATGATGTTCAATGAGGTCCCCAGGTGAAGAAGTAGGCTGTGACAATAAAACAATAAATGTCTGTAACTTATTCAGAACTTTTAAAAGAACTTTTTTAAAAGGAATAATCATGCCAAAGAACAGAAAGTCTCAATAGCAGAGTTATACTTACAGGAAAAATAATCCACACCACTTTAACTCTGCTTCACTTATCTCTCCCCACGCTTCTTGAAAGATTCCCTTACAATGTATTAGGTTCAAATGCCATCCTGCACAGCCATTCACAGGTAGGTCTGCTTTTCTTGGGTGATGTTAAGGGTGGATTACAATTGCTTTCAAGGCTATGTCCCAGAGTAGGATGGTCTCAGCACAGCCGGGGGGACCCACAAAGCCACACTCAGTCTGGGACCAGTTCTCTATTTGGCAGATTGCTGTTCAGCCCCAAGGACTTGCATATTTATGCCGGAGAAAGTCATTTGACAATAGTAACTCTTTGAGGTTGGAAATCCTCAAAGGATTTGTCAGCCAACGTAAAATCTTGGTTATGTTAGTCTACCATTACAATTATTGCAGCAGGCATTCTGAGTTCATACCAACACATTCCTAAAAGTCTCTAAAAAAAAACGTAGGTAATATCAGAAGGAAAAAAATCCCACCTGCCTTTCCACCATCCTTGCCATCAGCCCCTCCACAAAGTCTTTACATACACCAGCCATGGCCGTATCTCCAGCTGTATCCTCTGGGCAAAACAACTCTGGAGCAGCCTCTTACACTATATGAGAACCCCACACTGAGCCCCTTACCCACTGCACCGTGACTTTTAGATGGTGGTCTTTATCAAGTACAACAACAACAACAGAAATAAAAGGAATAAAGAATCCAGGCACACAAACCTGAGTGTGTCAGGAGCACCAGAGTAATTTAACTAACTCCCTATGGGACTCTTCTCTTCCACAGTAGAAGCCCTACACGATTTTCAGTAAGGCTGAAATGAATGACCACAGCAGCAGGCTTGCTAAGCTTGCCTAGTTGTATGATGGCATTCTGCTTAGGATCACTGTAAAAAGTGTTCTTTGAACTCTCTCAGCGTCCTCCAGCCCCTTCTTCCTTCCTCCTTATCCCCAAGGCAATGACTTTTATCTCCAGGTCTCCATTTCTTCTCTGCAATAATTAGAGGGCTTCCAAGCCTTTCTCTAGAGGTGACAGCATTGCCTACTCCTCCTCCACCTGAGATGCCAAGCTCTGCTTCTGCAGAATATTTATTTAGCCTAATCTACATCAGACAAGCTCGTCCTTCCCTGGTAATGAAAATCTGCTGTCTGGGATAGCCAGGCCAGACACGATTGGATTCTTCTGGGTGCACAATTCAGACCACACTGCAGTGAGCTGTATGATAAGCAAAGACAGAAAGGAGCTGCACACAGACAGCTTCCCATTACCTCATTTACCAAGCTTCATGGTCAAACTAATTCGGCTGTTTGTGACTTTTCCAACTCCAAGTTAAGTTTGTTCCTGGACACATCACTCCCAATCCACATTCTTGTACATTCACTAACCTTAAACCTAAACAAGCCTTTGTCTCTATAGCATATTCTTCCTTGATGTATGATAGCAGAGCCACTACAGTCTCTGCTCATGACAGATACCTCCAAGCCCATCAGTAGAGTTGAGTGTCTCACTCTAGCTCTGGCCAGCAAGAGATCTTGCCTTTGCCTTTAATTAATCAATGATCTCCAATAGATTTGTACTGTTAATCCAAGTTATAAGAACCTTGCTTAACGAGCAGTTTTCTTTTTTGCTTCTCCCCAAGGTCCAGGAAACTGCAACCATAAAGAAAGTTCCTTAAACATCAATAAAGAGGAAAAGTCACAGCCTCAGAAACTGAAAAACATCAGCCTTAAACTGATACGTCCTACCCATCATGGAGCAGTCACACTATTACACATATGCTTCTCTAATAGGTTCTAGAAGTTTGAGAATTTCTGAATGATCTCAGTTTCTAGAAAGAAGGAAAAGGCTTTTCTTTTCCTTCCCTAGATGGAAATATATAAAAGGCTGGAAGGAGGTTCAATACATCTATTTGCTTACAGGAACTGGAAACAAATGCTATAAACCAAATGAAAAGCCACTCTGCACTCTCTCCCACACCACCAACTGCAGTTGGCAATCTACAACAAAACTAAGAACAAAAGATCAGAAAAATCAAACGGTGGGAGTGGAATCCAGGACACATAAGAAAAAAAGACAGGTGTTGTAATTATCATTACATGGCAGTGGTAATTTTGACCAAAATGAGCACTTGACCAAGAATATACTAGTTGAAAGCCATCTAATCAGATGTAGATACGTGCACTGTAGAAGTCTTGTGTATAGATAACAGTATCTCAACTAGGTATAAGAAGCTCCATTTACAGTTAGCACAGGGGAACTGTCACCTCAAATATGCTGTTCATCCCTTTCAGGCATCTGCTTTAGGATGAGATGATTTGTGCCTCAAAAGAAGCTGTTCCGTTTTTCTCAGATGGGAATGTTTACACTGTAAATCTCTATGGTTTATATGCCTGCACTTGGTTAGATGAATCCCACTTCATGAATTTTTCATTATTTGTAGTCATTACATGGGACTGGATAGCTCTTTAAGAGATGCATATAACTTGACCAGAAGCACAGGTTTGATACAAAAAGAAAAAATACTAGACAAGCTTCTATCATCCTAGGAAAATAAGACTCAGGCTTTGAATATACATCCCTGAACCTTGATTTGTAACAATGAAAGTAGCTATATTTTGGGGTTATATTATTATTCTATTCTTCATTTACTTGGTAGTTCAAACTACGTGGCCTTAATTTAAAAATCAAGCGCCTTTGAGTTCTGCTTTACCATATGGCAAAAGAACTCTGTTAAACAGTTTCAAACACCGTATATCCAGTTTAATATCCTTGGAGCTAAGTTGCTCGAAATGTTTGTTTGCTGCAAAAGTCAGTTTTTCGTCAGTAACTTCTGACAAAAAGAAGTCCCTTTTATATATTCTGTGTCTTCCTCTAGTAAGAGTCGTCATCCCTGGCAGTGTTCAAGAGGCACCTGGAAGAGGAGCTAGGGAAAATGGTTTAGTGCTTGTGGTAGCAGTGGTGATGGGAGGGCAGTTGGGCTAGATGATCTTACAGGTCGCTTCCAACCTTGCGATTCTATGATTCTATGATCTTAAGGTCTTCCCTGAGCTCCTTTTCTCCAGACTGAACAATGCCAGTTTCCTCAGCCACTCCCCATAAGAGCTCCAGATCCTTCACAGCTTAACTGTCCTTCTCTGGATATGCTCCAGGCCCCCAACATCATCTTTGTAGTCAGGGGACCACAGCTGAACACAGTACTCAATGTGCAGCCTCACCAATGTGGATACAGATCACCTCACTAGTCCTGCTGACTGCACTATTTCCTGATAGAGGCCAGATGCTGTTGGTACTCTTGGCCACCGGGGCACACTGCTGGTTCACATTCAGCCAGCTGTCAGCCAACACCTCCAGATACTTTCCTGCCATGCTGCTTTCTAGCTGCTTTGCCCCAGGCCTGTAGTGATGCATAGAGTTTTTGTAATAGAAATGCAAGACGCTGCACTTGGTCTTGTTAAAATTCATGTAACAACACCTTTCCTTTAAACCAGATTCATCAACTTAGTTCTTTATGTCTGGAAGGTATTCTTACAACCAATAAAACACAGAGGCTGTAGGAATGAATCTCCAAGAAATTTGGAACTAGCTCATAAGAAACTAGAGCTGTTGCCTTACCTATTTACCTCTTGAAGAAGGCAGGAGATTAGGAATAGGGCTCAGCTCCTCCTGAAAAGTTACAGAAGAACAGTCCGAGAGACTTTTCCAGATGAACTTCTATCAGTACTTGGAGATGTCACATCGCTTGCTGTTCACTGTTTCTCTATGCACCAGCACTAACAGCAGTCATAAAGCCCACCTCAGCAAAAAGGCCACAATTTCTGCTCACAATAGAAGTTTTGAATTTATATAATCCTTTATCACCTCACAAAGTAATGGCTCATTGGATTTTTTTTTCTTTTTTCAGGAATTGCTGTCAGCAGGAGACATTATTCTCTTTCCAGCCCTGTTCATGCTTTAGCACAAAGAGCCGAGTTCAGCTGCCTTGAACCTACAGCTAGTAAAGTTTCTCACATGGAAAATGGCTGCTTGAAGGTCCTCCCATGCACAGTAGCACATCCATCAGTGGGCTTACTCTTACCACCTCTTCTGAAGAGGCACTGATGGTCAGTAACTCTTGGCATGGACACATCAGTTTTTTTGTCACAGGTAAGACAAGTGATACAGTCAGTTAGACCACGGCTGAAGTGATGCTCAGAGAAACCTGTGATGTACATCTGCCTTGCCTCCAAGTGATGCTAGGACTACTCTGTGTCTTTCACTTCTCTCCAAGGAAAACCATCAAAGCCACAACCCACTCCGCATGAATCCAGTGTCTCCAACTTCAAGAGGCAGGGAAAAAAAGATATGTATCCAGACATAGGTGACAGAAGAGATTGCCTAAATCAAAAGAAATCCATCTGAGTCACTTTTAGCAGTTGTAGTGCTATAATGGGATGGAAAATACTGTGATAATAACAGGGTGACAAAGTCTTTCACTACAGTAAATGAGAACAAGCACAAATGCTGCAGCTGTGGACACAAGAATGAAGGAAAAGAATCGCTTACCTTTGGAAGGCCACAGGCATGCAGGGACTCCAGGAAGATCCCCTCACCTCACTGCCAACCCTTAAATGAAGGCTCAGAAGGGCTGGATCCTGGCTCCAGCCCTTCTGGTCATTCAGTACATTGCATGCAGCTGAGCTCCCTGGGTTGGCCCTGCCTTCCCACCAGGTGCTCCATCACTGGCTCAGGCCATGACTTAGCATTTCCCCTATAGCAGTCAAAGCCTGTCCCTTTTCACTCTCATGGGTTTTGTGAAAGTGAGAGAACATCACAGCAGGAGTAATAATGCATACATCTTTATGAAAACCTGAAACAAGGAGATATCCAACAGGAATACACCACAATTATTCTTTAAACTATAAAACATCAAGTTGCTTGGTATTATAATTTCTTTTAAGAGTATACCACAATTATCTTTGATCCAGCATGACCATGTGGAACTAGAATTTGATTTCCTGTTTAGTTGGGTTTTATATTTTGAAGGATTTTGCTTTTTGAGAGGAGAATTATGTGTCTGATGATCACAAAATCCAACTCAGACATGCTGAATCATGACATCTCAGACAGCTCAGACCATGGTTTTGAAAAGGAACTATGGACACCTTCAAATAATGAGGCAGATTTCACCCACTGGAAATCAAACCATGGCATATTATGCTAATTTCCTGATGCAGTTAAGCTTTAAGTAGGAAAGCTGAAGTCATACTACAAGATCAACAGTGCCTTCTATAGTAGACTTTGGGATCAGAACCACAATGCCTGAAGGAGGCTGCAAAGGGCTTTGAAGGAAATATCTTCTTGGAAATACATCATGGGGCCCTATTTTGGTTTGTTCCTGATTTTGAATTATGGAGCTCACATCCCCATGAGAATGAGATTCTCTCCAATCTGTTTATGAAAAAAATAATATAACAGTATCAACTCCCTGGCAAGAACATTTGCAAGGCTTTGAATAGATAATATTTCTGTTTCTTGCTAAATCATTTCAAACAAAAACAAAGAAGTGACAAGGGAAAGAAAAGTTTAACATTCCTGCTGCTTCTGCCAAATGAAACAACAGCCAGGCAGGCATTCAGAGCTTCATGCTCTGGATTCTCTCGCTCTGTTTTTGAACAGGAAATACATCAGTCACGCTACAGCATCTATTCAAATTCTATAGCATCTCCATATCAAAAATCATATTGAGATTTGGCATGCTGCTGTTGCACATAGGGATTTATCCACAGATTTGTTGTTGTCTGGAGACACAGCCAGCATCTCCTCTGCTTCATCAGATGGCTCATCTACTCAGCAGATCGAAAACAGCGCCAGGATTTCTCTTTTCAGAGAATGTAGAAAGAAACAGAGGGAGAGGCAAAGCTGATCCTAGCAACAACTATACAAACAAAACCCTCAAGCAAATACTTTCATATCTATCAGCTACAAATGATCAAAATTTCTTCACTGGAAAAATCAAACCTGAAGTTGTTTTCATACTGCATCATTCTCTTCTGCAGCACAGGAGGATTAGTCAGATAGGAGTACAGTGTCTATTCAGCATTGTGACTTATGATCCCAACTGAAGACATATTATTTTCAAACAACAATATTTTCTTAGGTAAATAGTGTCATATTCACCTCAAGTTTTTTCAGTGAATGCCGTGGGTATGGATTAGTGATTGCCTTATTGTTTGGTAAAAAATGAAATACAGAACAAAATAAAAAGGATCCTACTGTTAACCACAACTTTTCTGCAGAAAAAATGAAACAGCAGGGTAACATTCAGAATATATGGATCATAGAATCATTAATGCTGGAAAATACCACTAAGGTCATCTAGTCCAACCATCAAATGGGCTGACAGAATTTGCTGCCTCGAGGAGGCAGTGTTGAATGAGTTAACAAAATGTCATTTCCATGTTTTCTGCTTTTTTCTATCAAACCAATACGTAAAAAAAGAGACTGAATTAAACCTCTCAGGTAATTTATGGCTTTCCATTTAACCAAATGAAAATAACAATGAGCTAAGTGGAAGCTCAACAATTTTTTATGTATATTCATAACTCTTCTCATTCTTCACGTACTGCTGCTCATCAAAAACGTACCCCAGTGAGAGCTCTTTTTGTGACTCACCACAGGTATAGATGACATTCAGATGCTTTTGGATGCCGGGATAACAAGGATCTCCAAATTCATAGGTGCTGGCATATATGCTACAACTTCTTTTCCCATGGCAGCGTTTGATCATGAGTTGGAGAGCAGTAGCTGACTTGCAGTCTATAAAAAAAAAAGGACAGGGCATGGAAAAAAGATCTCAGGAGTCTCTTTCCAGTGCATTTATCCAGAAACACTACATGCTTCCTTGTAAATTAAACAACTGCCATAGAAAAAGAAAATACATGGATAACAGTTAAAATATGCATGTGGAATTCATTATCATTTATTTAGCTGTCTGATAATGCAACTGATCACAGCAACATGCAAAATTATTTGCAACTTTCCACTCTATGGGTATGAGCAAGATGGGCTTTGTGAACTTGTTCATGGAAGAGTAAAATTGATTTGAGTGTGTAGATTTTTTTCCAGATTTTTCTTGTTTCATTTTGAGAGGAAGAGAGAGAGTGAGAGTGGGTTTGTGAGGTTTTTTAGCCTTTGCTATGTACAAAAGAGCTGTCTCAACTCTGCAGATTCCTACTGCTACTGCAGACAGAAGTGGTCATTGTCCCTGTCTGTTCTTAGCAGATACTGTATTTCTAAGCCTAAGAAGGGATACAACGAGGTTAAATAATTACAGTTTTACTGTCTACCATCTAGGTAGAAATATTCTATTAATTGTGTTTGTTCCATGCAAGTACAAATATTTGTCAGATCAGGACTTGAGAATACACAAAACTCCAAAAGTAAGTACTTACCAGATTGTTTGCTACTGTTTTCTCATGTAAAGCAGAGAGGACAAGCTCTCCAAATTTTCAATGCCAGACTGACAGTTTGCTTTCACTGTCCAACCATAGCCAATGACAGTGGGAATCAACAAGATAGTTTTTGTTTAACATTAAGAAGTTACAGCAATAGAAAATCTATGGAGAAAAGAATACAAACCCATTTGGTCACTCATTAAGAAGCAGGGAAAGGGAAAATAGACCCTAAAAGGTATTGAATGATACAAAAAGTACGATGGTTTTACACCAATAGGCAACTGAACACCACTATGTTGCTCTTTTTCTCTCCTTCAACAGATCAAGTGGAGAAAATATGATAAAAAAAAGATCACAAGTTGAGATGAGTACAATGAGATATAAACCAGTTACTGTTACAGAAAAACAGATGAAACATTAGGGAGATTAATGTAATTTGTGAGCTGCTGCTATCAAATGAGAACAGTAAGAACTGAAAGCAAACTACTAACACCTTCATCCCCACCTACCCTCCTTCACCTCCTCCTCCTGAGTGGTGCAGAGAATGGCACACTGGGGCTGAGGTTAGTCCACAATACTTACTAGAGCTGGCTAGTTTAGAACATGGAGTGAGAGAGCAGGGGTTGCTCCTGGGCTGCAGGGAATTCTGCTCTGCACCTGAAGCACCTCCTGCTCACCTTCTGCACTGAGGGTTGCAGGGTTGCTTCTCTCCCATTTCTCATCCTCTCTCCCAGCTGCTGTTGCACAGCAGTTTTTCCCTCTCCTCAGTCTGCTCTCCCAGAGCACACCCAGCATTGCTCAGGGCTCAGCTCTGGCCATTGGCAGTCGCTTAGGAGCAGCTGGAGCTGGCTGTGATCTGACATGGACAGGGCAGTGCGGGGCTCTGCTCACAGAGGGCACCCCTTGCAACCTGCTGTTTAACAAATGCCAGAGGTTCCAATGGAAACACCTGGCCTTTGTCTTTTTGTCAAAGGTCCAATAAGAGAAACTCATCAAATCTACTCACTAGACAAGATTTCATGAAAGGCGTCTATTCTTTTTATTTGTTTTGGTGTTTTGGTTCTCACACAAAACAGACAGCATTCCAGGGCAGTGCAGTGGCCTCACTCCGCAACACTCCATGGGAGGATGAGGAATTACCCACACATCTTCCATGGCTGGTCCTGGGATCATCAGCCTTTGAGTTCTCCTCCTGTAGGAACGAGTAGTTTCAATGGTTACAAGCCACAGGCTCTGCTCTCCAGCTCAACAGACTGAATTGACTCTTCAGGATCCAGCTCTGTAGAGTCAGCACACTGAATATGCTGTATGCTAACATGATAATATCACCAGCTTCTCTAGACACCATCAGTCATATCTTGGTATTGACAAACTCCTTTCTACCATGCAGAAAGCTACAATCTCTATCCATACTGACCTTAGCAGCTTCATTGGCACTTCAAAACCAAACAAGGCCTGGATCCTTGCACACCAAGTTTAAGAGTTATCCTGTTAGCATGATTTTGCCAACTGGCATTATGCTAGACACTGCAGAAGTCCAATGTGAGATATCACAAGGGCTGTTTCCAATTGTCAGTTTGCAGTAGGTTTCCCTGGATATTCTGAGGAGAAGAGCAGGGGTGCATGATAGAGGATTTCACCACACAGACATGATGTCAGCCAGTCACAGCACCAGGCAGCAGGCTCTTTCTCATCGTATTTAGTACAGTACGTGAGCATAATCCTGTTGCTATATTTTTCAGGTAGTAGCTTTTCCCCAGGAGAAGACAGCCTTGGCTATGCTACCTACCAAAAACAAAATGCCATACTGCCGACAGACAGCTGTGACACCCTGCTGTGGCCTCTTTTCCAGACCACCAACCAATGCAATGGAGCCCAAGTTATAATGGCCAAGCAAGGAGTCATGTAGCTTCATCTGCCAGAGCAGGTCCTAACACTGCTATTCCTATTTGTATTTTAATTGTGCTAAGGACCAGCATATGCTGTTTGGTTAGCATGTTTGCTGGTAAATGAAAACTTCCCTGGCCTATTCCAAGGCCCTGAGGCCAACTGTGTTGGAACAACCAACATTAATACTATTAAATACTCTTACCTTCCAAAATAGTGCTGAAACACGATAGAAATCAACCCTGTCCCATATACAACTTTAAACCAGTTTCTGGACTGATTAGGTGAGTGTCAGTCAGGCCAAGACAACTAATTATGGCAGTGAGTGTAGTATAATTTAACAGTACAAAAGATCTACTTACAGTATCTGTACGCAGGCCCTGGCACTGCTAGTTTGCCACCGTTCAGGTAAGCCTAGATATCCAACTTCTTAGGGCAAAAACCTAAGCCCTCCATATTCACCTAACCACCAGTAGTGTAATGCTTGACTTTCCAATCACCATGCTGCTCCAGCTCAATCTGTGCCAGACAAAATGAGCAGAAAGCAGAAGAGATTCTGCAAGCTCCAATTACACATGTGGATAAGATCCCTCAGCACAGGAAGTAAAGAACCAAGATTTTAAAAGCCCGATTTATACAGAATTTTTAGAGACTTCATTATTGAAAATACTGAACTCATTGAATATTCAAATAATAAGGAAAAGTCACCTATTTGGACTGAAGCACATAAACCATACAGTAACTTCATTGGAAGCAGTATCTGGAGCTTATCCAGTACAGCCTCCTGCTCAGACCAGGGCCAGCTTTGAAGTTACATCAGGTTACTCAGGATTTTGTCTAGGCAAGTTTTAAAAATAATCCCCAACCTCCCTGGGCCATGGCATTCTTCAGCTTAGTTTTTTTTTCCCTGTATCTAATCAGGTTTCCATTCCTGCAGCTTGAATTGATTGCTTTTGTGATTATTTTTGTTGGGTTTGTTTATTTATGTTCGCTTTGTTTTGCATTCCCAAGAAGTCTTCTGCACAGCCACCTCTTAGGTATTAGAAAAACAACAATAACATCCCAACCTGAGCTTCCTCTTCATGAAAACAAGCCAATACAGGTCTTTCACCATCTCCCCACATGCTGTGTGTTCCAGTCCCTGACTACCTTGGTGGCCCTTCACTGGATTTGTTGCAGTTTTTCAACATCTATCTGAGGAGTCCAAAACAGAGTATTCATTTTTTCCATGGTAAGGACAAAGACATTCTCTTAGAATCAGTCATATTCTTCCAGTCCAAATAAATGAATAAATAGACTCTATGGCACAATAACAAAGTATTCACTTTGGTCACAGTGGCAAGTTTTCCCTTATTTTTCCTGCACACAAGCACAAATGCCCTGTGCACTTCCAGAATTGACAGGGCAACTAGCCAATAGTACTTCTTAAACTGAAATTAGCTTGGTCTCCTCTCTCATATTTTGAGCTGTTAACTTGCTGAGCCTCCACATAACACATTGAACTGAAAAAATGCAGCAGCAAGGTCCAAATGGGATCATCTCCCTTGAACACTTCAAAGGATTTGTAATAAAAAGGTCATGCCAATATGTCCTATCTAGTATCTTTATTCTCTCACTAACAAGAACTGAAGATGTCAAAATATACCTGAGAGACAGATGGGTGATATGTGAGGCTACCAGACCCTCATAAATCACAGTCAGCACCATGTCATCTAGAAGTGACAACATCGTCCTATGTCTTGGGAGTATAAAAATACTCAAATCACTCGTCTCCCTTTTTATGATATACATGCTGGTAATTTAACTTCCAAGAGTAAGTAATACATAAAGGAGCTGGATTGAAGTGGGAATTCCAAGTATATTTGTACTTCTTCATGAGATGATTCCAGGTATGAAGTCTTTACCTCCAGTTGCCTCAGAGAAGCAATAAAATAGAGGTTCTCTTCTCTATAAATGACATAGCTAGCATCCCAAAAAGATGCAGAGGAGGCAAGCCCAGCAATGTGGTAGAGCAGAGTAGGGCTATGACCCCATACAGCTGGCCAAACTCAGTTCCTGTTCTTTAGAAGAGGAAAAGTGGATTTGGCACTCGTTTGCACACTTATTCAGGACATCTCATTTCTCTTGTGGCTTGTTTGTTTAGTAAGTGTAAACACTGCATGTTATATTAAACACTATACTAACATCAGTGACATTAGTACTAACAAGTGATCTCATGTGTCAGATACACGGGGAAGGACACTCACAAATGCTAACACCATAGCTAAGTTTAATGGGAAGTCTACTGCTAAACAGAGCCAGGTCCCTGTCAGGAACCTTTTAAAGCCCACAAAGCTCAAATCCCATAGCAGAGCAATAAAATGCACTTTATGTCCTCACAGATGATAGAGAACGCACTTATGAAGGCTAGGATAGAGTCACCATTTGCTTTCATTAATCTTGGATAGCTCCAGTACACTAAGAATAGATCTGATT